ACATAAGCAAAGAACTAACACCTATTACCTCTCCCCCTTTAATTAGGCCATGAGAAGGAATTCCTGGGGTATCTAAAAATTCATCCTAGAGATTTAAACCTTTAACAAAGGTGACTTTGAGCTATGCTGGGATGAGCTTTGTCTTCTGTAAGTAACACATTCTGACTTTAGGTAAGATGAACAACTACAAAAAAGGGTATCTGCCTCCATTCTTTCTTCTATTCAGGTGAGAACAGGGCTTCACTGGTGAAAGTTAAAATGACCTGTTTTTTTCCTGGCCCTGGTGAAAAACTAATGATGTGTTTTTCATTTTCATCCAGTTCTTCCTGGTTTCATGTTTATACATTCAAAAGGTGAGTAAAGCTGTGAAGTACTGGGTGCAAAGCTCTATTTGCTCCTCTCATGTCTGAATCTAAGTTCAGTGGACTCCAATGGAGAGTGTGTGTGCAGAGCAGGGGTCAGCATACCACTGTGTCCAAGTTCCCCAGTGCTGCCCATGGCTCACACACTTCTCTGAGGTCAAAAACAAAAACAAACAAACAAAAAACACCAGGGTGGGTGGAGATTGTGATGCACTGCTCCTTAAAGTCTTGCTTAATCAGAGATCAATGTAATAATCAGGTTTGCTCAGTGCCTCCAAATTCACACAGAGCTCATATGTAATACCATTTTTATAAACCAGGAAATGGAAATTAACTTACAGAGTTGAGACTCAGTCAAGTTGAACTCCAAATTTTGAGCTAGGTCTGTCTCTGACTCTCTCTCTTTTTCCTTTCTTCCCTCCCTTCCTCTTCACTCACTTCCTGCCTTTCTTTTTAAGGACATGCTATCATTGATCACCTAAAGAGACTACATCATTGTGGAAACCTATACAAAGGTGCTTATTTACATTGTCCATTTATTATCTCAAAATACACTTTTCATTATCTCAATGTGCCTCTAAAAATGGGAAGTAATTGTAGCAAGGCCTAGAGAAGAAAATATGAGCAACAAAAACAATGACAATCTTTTCCTTTTCTGCTGGATCAGGACAGCCTCAATTAAGCAGCATTGAGAGGTGTTTAAATGGCCCTTTTGTCTATATTTTTGGCAGGTGTGGTGATACTTTGGCTAAATTAGGAACTTTCTGTATGTGGATAGCCTCCAAATTCAACATAATATTTCAGATCAGTAGGAATGGGTTATGGTGGGATCAGTTTTCTTTTTTTTTTTAATTTCCATTTTGACTTTTAACAGAATTTGGACAAGTTTCACAAACAGAGTTACTGCTGCCAAAGATACCATCACTGAATAAGGACAGTCGACAGTTCTGCCCACAGATTCAGCAGTGTGTTCCTGCCCTGGGCCTGGGCTTTACAGGGACCTGAGTAGCACACACATATAAAATTATATTTTTAAGGGACACATGGTCACCTCTGTCATGAGAGATTTGGTGCTCAGTGCTGAGAGCACATAAAACAAACCATAGATATCCACTCTTAAGACTAACTCTGTTCAGGCCCCAGAAAAACATTTCACCACAACTTTTGTCTTTGAAACAGCACAGTGAGATTTTTAGGGTGTGCTGCTGCTGATATGGTGCATGGACACTCCTAAGGTGTATGGATGATACAATGGCAGAGGCACTTAGCTAAAAAAAAAAAGAAAAGTTAGCAAGAATATTAATTAAACAGTCTTAAATAATGAGCAGTGTTTCCTAGTAGTGCCAACCATCAACTTTCTTGCTTCTCTTTGTGTCGCAATCCATGGTTCTACTGGAAGTCACACATTAATATAGTATTTGCATGTACTGTGTTTCCCCCCAAATAAGACCTAACCAGAAAATAAGACATAGCATGATTTTCAGGGTGCTCGTAATATAAGCCCTACCCCAAAATAAGCCCCAGTTAAGATTGTCAGCCAGACATGACTGTATTTTAACATATGTAGATTTTTGTACATGAATAAATGAATAAAATGCATCTTTTGGAACAAACATTAATATAAGACCCAGTCTTATTTTTGGGGACACATGGTAGCTGAACATGGTGATTGAGGAATATTTTGCAAAATTAAATAATTAATGTTACTGTTAAAATAACAGGTATGTTGTTTTAACACATGTGAAACATGATATTGATTCTTTATACTGACTTCTTTATACAACTAGGTTAACTTTGAATGCTAGATTTGCTAATAGGTTTCTATTTTATTAAAAATTAAGGCAAAATTAAATTTTCATTTTCAAATAATAAAAATGTTAAGCTTTTTATAGTTTTATTTAAATGTTGGTATTCATAATCATAATTTGTAGTTGACATTTTAATTCTAATAGATAACTTTGAACAATTGGAAGAAAATAACTCAGCCAATATAGGAAAGTAATTTTAATTTTCTAATTTTAAAAATTTAATTTACATTTTTTATGAATATATATACTCAAATTTTATATAATTTGAATACATAAATCCTTTATCAGTGTTGTTCAATTGAACTTCCTATAATGATGGGAATGTTCTATATCTGTGTCATCAAATATAGTGGGCACCAGCCACATGTGGCTACTGAACACTTGCAATATAGCTGGCACCACTGTGGAACAAAACTGAAGTGTGGCTAGGTGTGCCATACAGAATAGCATAAGTTAAGGTCACTGCTATCACTGGAACATAAATTATGTGACAATCTTCATTATAACAACATATCAGTGATTTTAGTAAAATAAAGGGAAAAACCAATGTTATGGAATACATAATAATGTATGAATTATGTATGTCTTTATTTTATTACTTGTCTATACAGCCAGACTACCAACAGAAAATCTAGATACTCATAATACTATATTCAGTTGCCTTTGATATTTTACTGACTTTTGTCATATAAAAACTATAGGTTTTCTTATCTTTTAATATTGTTATATTTGTCAAGGTAGGAAGATATAATATATAATATCTTGCTAAATTGATTAATAACTTTGTAATATTTAGACATATGACGGGTCTCCATTTGTACTCTTACCCCAAGCCCACCAATGTTAGGCGCTGGTCTGACAGCACCCCAACTCTGACCAGTCATACTGTTAATGTCACTATTGTCTCTAGAGAGCCAGGAGTGTCACACGGTTGGACTAAAATAAAAAAATCTCCCTTGTTGCCAAAAAAGTTAAAGCAAATGTCCGACTGGGAGGAGTCCAACAACGTGCCTTCCTTAGAGGAAGTCCAATTCATTACTTTTCAATAGAGGCCTTCTATTTGGGCTCAACACTGCCTTGGCTGGTTACCTATAAGAGAGAGCAAAGAAACAGTAGTTGTCATAAATTGCAAGGGAAGAAGCCGCTGGCAAAATCCCCATCACTGTTTACAATGTGGATTACAGATTAATAAGGGTAGAGTCAGCTTAACATTGTAGTGTTAGAGAACAGAGATAATCAAAATTCATTAACCCTCCCACTAAGCTTTAAGCAACAGAAGGAAGGGACAAGGTACCTTCTGGTTACCAGAGTCGCAGCAGTATGAGTCCCTGCAGTGCTTTCTCTCCACTGGTGCTTGACCCTGTAAGTGCAGCCGCTTCCCACCCCCACCACCAAACCACCTTACACATTTCTGTTCCTCTGGGTGCTCCAGCTCTAAGACTGTTCCACGCTTTCTCTCTGAGGTCACCCAAAGATTAAGTCCTAGTTGCTCACAGTGGTAACCTGCTCATTAATACACCCTATGTTGACTCCTCCGCCCTCGATCTCACTTTCCCATTCTTGTTGTACTTCTTCCTGGCATTACTTCCCTAATAAAACCCATTTGCCCTTAAATTCTTACCTCCAGGTTTGTATCTGGGGAGCACAGCCTAAGACAACCTCCAGCACACAGCACAGTGCCTGGGATACAGTATGGCATTAATAGATACTGGCTGAAAGGATTAACATACTTTGCAAATGAAATCTTACCCTAATATTAACTTCTTCACTAAATGTAAATAAGTTACTGAGAAGTAAAGTGACTTCTACCTCCTTATCTGGATCTCCCTGGATCTACTAGGATAAAAGCTCCAACAGAAAGCATATTACCACTCTAAGAAAGCAAATTTGGCTCCATCGTAATGCACACACCACCTCAACAAAATGGAAAGCCCAGGTTGCAGATTGGACCATCCTCACTTGCGGATCCTTTTGAGGCATGTGAGTCCCCTTCCTCTATATTTCAAATGTTCATTTTGTAATTAAAGATAAGGCTCAACAAGTACATATTTGGGAGAAGTAGCAGGATGATATAAGGTCATATTAAGAAGTAAATGATTAACATAGAGTCTTTCAAAGAGCACTTATAAGGATCCAGTAAGTGGAATTCCTAAAGAAAGAGGAGCTGTTGGTTGAGGCACCAGAGCCAAAAGTGGTCTAGTCCCTAAATGTGCCCTCAGGGAGGTGACAGCTGTAACATATCCTTGCCTGTTGGTTCTGGGGTCCAGACCGCTGGAAACAGGGTCAAAGCGAGGGTGGGACTGATGTACTTTTTGGGCCTCTATAATGAATACTAGGGGAAAGCAGCGAGGAAGAGCCCTAGGGGCACACCTGTATCACGAGTTTGCTTTTTTGCCCGTTTCATTCATTGCCTATGTTAGCACATGTGTTACAGCCCAGGCCTTCTGTTGAGTTCAGTTATCTAAGCCTGTCATCTACAGCTGTTTGGTCCTGGCTCATTATGCTTATGCAGAGAGAGACAGAAGGATTGCTGTTTTTTTGTTGTTGTTGTTGCATTTTATTTTTGTAATTTTACAAAGTGAACCGCTTTACTGAAACATTTGACGCTTTTTAAATTCACTTATTAAAAGTTATTCCATACCCAAAATGGTAAATTAAATATTTCAAGACATTATTTGATTCATTACCCACACCTTCTCCCCCTTTCCCAAACACTCTGTACCACTGACAGAAATCACAGGTTGTGTCCAAACCCTCGTTTCGGTGTGACCGCCGCCTTCCATGCACTGCCCACGGCTCGCTTTGATCCACCCGGGCCAGCGGAGGCACAATGGAGCAGCAGCAGAGCGCGTCCTGCTTCGCGGGTTCCGGGGCTCAGGGACAGGAGCGCGTCTACCCGCGGGGCCCGCTAGGCAAGCTGACGCGTTATGGGGTCGCGGCGCTCGCGGCTCCCGCTCCTTTCCCCGGAGCCCCGCAACTTTGCTCCGCCTGCGGCTTGAGGCAGCCCGGAGCCCTTCGGAGCCTCCCGATCTCCTGGCTTGCCTTGCGCGCTGAGCGTGGGCTCTGTGACTTTCGGGTACAGCTGGCCCTGCTCGGTGACACTGTCGTCCGGCACCAAATACGAAGGGAGCTGCCTCGTCGCGCCCGCGGGGCCGCAGGCCGCTTGTTCCGCGTACCGCTCTCACCAACTACTAGCGGCTCATGACCCGGGACAAACTTCTGGCTGAGGCGCAGCCCCTTGCACGGTCACCCTCCCGGAAGCCAGCCACAAAACAGAACAGGCGGCTGGGGCCAGGAGAAGGAGAGGGTGGAAAGCCGTAACGCCGCTCTTCTCCGTGCGGGTGACGAAGGATCCGCGGCGGCCACCCCCAGCCAAGCTCCCTCCGGGAGACGCCGCGGCCTTCGAGCGCCAGGGTGCGGGCCAGCGGGTACGGGCGCTCACGCCCTCTAGCGGGCCGCAGCGGCGCCAAGCGGCCGTGACGTGAGCTCTCCCTTCAGCCGGCCTGCGGGGCACCGCCAGTCAGTCTGGGAGCAAGAGCCCCGCGCGGAGCGGGCGCGGGCTCGGCCATTGGCGCGCCGCCGCCCGGGGGCTGGGCTTAGGGCTGCAGGCAGAGAGGCGGCGGGCCGGACGCGCGCGGCCACGGCCTCGGCCGGCGGCTCGGGTCCCGAGCAGAAGGAGAGCGGCGGCGGGTGCAGCCGCTGGAACGGAGGGCGGATTTTGGCTCAGCGGGCGAGCCCTCCGCTCCCTCTCGCAGCCGCACCAAACGCCGAGTCGGGTCAGAGCGAGGGAGGAGGACCCAGGACCCTTACTCCTGGCCCCGGTAGCCGCTGGAGTTCGGACTTCTGCAACTGTTGGCACTTTGGGGGACTGGTTTTGTTTTTGACTGGTTCCCCTTCTCTTCTCTCTACCTTGAACACAAACCTCCCGTCCGCCCTCCGCACTCGCGCATCCACCCACAGCCGCCGGGGAGCGGCCCGGAGCGCACTTAGGAACATGAGGAGACTTGGGACTTGCCTGGCGACTTTGGCCGGACTTTTGCTAACTGCAGCAGGGGAGACGTTTTCAGGTAAGCAGGGCCACTTCTGCCGTCGCCTGGGACGCCAGCAGCTCCTCGAGTGGGAGAGCCAGAGACTGGCGGTTCATCCCGGACGGGGTCCCTGCGCGCCGGGCACCGCGCCTGCGGGTTATAGCCGGCGCCGGGCGAGAGGCGGGTGGGTAGGGCGGGAACGTAGAACTCCCGCTGGCGCAGACTAGCCGCGAGCACTAGCCTGGGATCCAGGACCCCCCTCTTCGCCACCGCCCCTCCGCGGCCTGTGCTAGTGCTTGGGGCGGACGGCCACCACACCGAGTCCCTGGCCGGCTCCAGGAGGAACAGCAGAAAACTTTGGCTGAAGTTCGGAGCTGCAGCCGCCGGGTCACCGGGCGTGGGCGCTGCGCAGTCCTTAAAACCCAGAACAGCGACCGGGTCGGATCTCGGGTGCCCAGCTGCGCCCGCGGCGATCGCCCCGACCCGGCAGCAGCTCCAGCGGCGGCAGGGATCGCCCCGCACCCTGTCCTTCCTGCTGCCGCCTCTGGCTGGTCGCCGCCGGTGACCCGGGCTCGTCCCGGCGGTCTCAGGGCAGTTTAAGAAAGCCAGGGCGGGCGTTCCTCGTCCGTCCCAGCGGGAGGACCCTGCGGCCTCAGGGACTGGCCGGGACCCCAGGCCGCGCGTTGCCGCGCGTTGCCCGGCCCGGCGCCCGCGGGGCTTTACTTCCTTACCCTCGGCCTCCAGCGGAGCACCGCTGGCCAGTAGTACCAACTGTTAGCCTAGTCCCGCCGCTTGGGAGTTCCAGGTGGGCAGGAAATGGATTGGCAGTGTGTGTGTGTGTGTGTGTGTGTGTGTGTGTGTGTGTGTGTGTGTGTGTGTGTGTGTGTGCATACTCGCGCGCTCGGAGCATTCTAAATCGGGAGGAGCCCCTTGCGGAGAGGACCAGTGTGGATCTGAGTCCGGGGTCTGGCGAGCAGCAGAAACCCCACAAGGATGTTACAGGGATTATCTCCGTGTGGACATCCGTGCTCCAGATACTGCTGGAGACATGTGGATAGACAGCAAACGCTTTCACATTTGCACACTTTATTTCTCATGTGTATTAGTTTCATTAAGGCCCACCTACAGTGGTGGCACTGGGCTGCCTTTTTTTCTTTTTTTTTTTTTTTAATTTGATGAAGGAGATTTTCACTGGCAGTAAACTCATATTTTAAACATTGGAGATGTTTGGCTCTCTGGCCTGTGGAGACATACATTTTTACTTTCTTGGAGTCCGAAAAACACACAGACACAGAAGGCTGTCCTCCTGTGTTGCTGAGCTGCAGGACCATTGACCACAGTTGGCCATAGAGTTTAAGTTGAGCTTGTAGTTGGCTGATTGGCTCAAGTGCTGTGAAACCCAAACCCGTCAACTTAGAGAAATACCCTTTTCCTAAGTTTAATATTTTCTTAACTGTCTGGTAATTGCACTTGCTTCAAGGATTTAACAAAATGATACATTGCTGTCTGATGTAAAATTGATGGAGATTTTGGCCTGCGTTCTTTCTTATTAGAGAATTATGGAGTATACTCGCCAGCGTTAGAGCCTTTTAACTCATTAATATTAAAAGGCAAGTGTGAGGACCTCAGGGATGGTTTTCTCTTTATTAAGATCCATAACTCCCAGACTGGGATTTGTTTAAAGTTAAGCTGTGTCAGGTAGCATTTGGATAGATTTTTAAGGTGTGTGCAAGAGGGTGGAAACAAATATTTATGTATAATAGCTTATTTAAACAATTAGTCCCTCGTAATTAAAAAAGAAATATTTCAGCCTGGGTAGTACTGACCTGTGTCTTTGTTAAGGCTGATTTAAATTATCAGTCAAAACAAAAGAGACACTTACTAAACTTAGGCAGATTTTTTTCCCCCCAGAGGAAATATATCTATTTGTTTGAGTTACCATACCATTAATTGAAGTGTGCCTTCTTTTTATTTGGAAAACCAGAGTTATCCTACTATGTTTTTGGGTAAAGGGGAAATGAAGGGCAGTATCAGAGATTGCTTCAAAATGTTGAAATTTAAAAAATTCAAAGTTGGCAATTTTTTTGTGTGCAAGGATCAGATATATTGCATTGCATTATATCCCCCCTCCCCCCACTTTGCATTTTAGGTAGTACAGATGTGAGGCACTTAATGCTTTGGGAAAATCAGGTTTTTGTTTTGTTTTTGTATATTGGGAAAGCTAAGTATGATATTATGAGTGACATTGACCTTTTTTTTCATGATTCTTCTGGAAATTGTGATAACTGGCTGCTTTTCACCTGATATGGGAATCAATTTTAAAGATAGAGGAACTAAGTTGTAAGCTTCTTGAGGACAAAGTCAGTTTTTCTTCTTCTTCTTGGTTCTGCATAAAACACTTAGCATGGAGCCTTAGACCTAACAGTCACTCACTATTTGCTGAATAAATTATTAATGTGAATCCTGATCATTTGCAAACATTCAATTTGTACAGGAATTGACTGACACAAGAGAGTGTAAAAGTGATTGTTTGGAGTTAGACTTGGCTTGCATTTTTCCTTCATTTGAAATGAACATTTTTTAGGGGTGCTCTTTAGGCCACCCAATGGACTAAATCATGAAGTTTTATGTGATCAGTGAAGGTTTTTTTTCTGTAACCAAGTTTTATACACAAGGTACTTTGCTATTCTCCTTCTGCAGTGCTCCTAATTCTCATATCTTCTTTTGGAAAGGGTTTGAAATTTACATGATTGTTAATTAGTACATTTCTGGAAGTGTACTACATGTAATTTGGATGTCAGACATAAGAATAGAGTGTTAAACTTATTAGAAGGAAAAAAATAAAGAATTAAGTTTTTGGTCCATGAGGACTTATTTACTATAAGCATTCCATATTAAAAATCACTTTCCAGTTATATAATTTTTAATTTGTTAGGCAGACTGTTGGAGGTTCACTTTCTGCCTTCTAGGCTTTTAATAATCATTAAAAATAATTTTTGTAAAAAGGTGTATAAGTAAGATGTGAGGAAAAAGTTAAATCATTTTACTTTTGATTGAAATTCTTTTTTTTATAGCGAGAAGCCAAAGAGCTGGCAAGTCACTTCTCTTTGACCCAATTTCTTAAAAGCCAAGTTATAATATATATTATACAACACAGTGTTTAGTTTTACATTATATTGGGACATATGTGTTAAGTTCTGTTAAGCAAACTTGGGTTTGCAGAATTAGAAATACAAACAGATTGGGCCCTTTGTTTCTACTACAGTATTTGGAATAGATTAAATCTTAACATGACCTTGTGAATTTGGGACTGTTGTTGAGGAATTTATTTATTTATTTATTTATTTATTTATTTATTTATTTATTTATATTGGTGAATTGGGGTTTGGGAACAGTGCTGGGGAATTCGGGGAAGGAACAGACAAGTTGCTGTCGTTTTGTTCTTCAGTCTAGTTGTGGAGGACGTTGCTTCACTGGCCCAAGTTGGCACCATCATTGCGCTCTTCCC